CCGAATTAAGGCGGTTTTCTCAGATAAAAAAGGTAATGGAACACCCATGAAGATGCTCATAGCCCGGGAAATGTCAAAAGAAGTGGCGTCTAAGCTAAACCACCCAATTTGGTTGCCAAGATGGGACTTGATACACTACCAAGGCGACAGCATAATTTATCTGCACAAAGATACCATTCTAAAGGTTTTTCTCAGCAATATTCAAGTCATTCTGATACGCCAGTGGAAGGCTGGGAGCAAGATCAAGGCTTTGCAGACAAGGAAATGCCAAGTGAAATAAACCCCTGTCAAGAGCTGAACTACATAGATGTTCATGAAGTCCGGCAACAGTCCCCAATGGCAACCTATTCAAGAGATAGCTCTCCACATAAGGGGAAGTATAAAGATAATGTGAAAGAGGAAAAAATGAATTAGTTCGTCAGAAGTTTATGGAAGCAAAGCATCTGGTGACAGATGAAAAACTTCGCCAAACCAAGGAATTCCAAGAAGCACTGGAAGTTTTGAGTTCCAATAGAGAGTTATTCCTCAAGTTTCTGGAAGAGCCAAATTCCAAGTTCTCTCAGCATCACAATGGTTTCCAGTCTTTATCTCAACCTCCTGAGAAAATGCGTATCACTCTTCTTAGACCTAAGATGATTGAACAAGAAAATTTTGCTGGAAAAGGGAGCACAAAGAAACCAGTTCGGATGGGTCATGGAACTGGATGGGATAGAAAGAACGAATTATGTGATTTTCCTTTCCCCAGTCCAGAAGTTGATGAATATCCTTCCCAACCAACTAGAATAGTAGTATTGAAGCCCAATCCTGGGAAGTCTCACGATATTAAGACCTGGGCATCTCCGTCTCCCTCATCACCTAGGATATTGCTTGGTGATGATTCTTTTAAGGAACCTGAAGTTGATGATGTACAAGAACCAAGAGAAGTAGCAAAGGAAATCACTAAGCAGCTGCGTGAAAATCTGATTGGACACAAAAGGGATGATACATTACTTTCTTCTGTGTTCTCCAATGGTTATGTCGGTGATGATAGTTCACTTGATAGATCTGAAAATGAGTATGCTGTGGAAATCCTCAGTGATTCGGAAGTCACATCACCAACTTCTAGACATTCATGGGATTACATCAATAGGTTTAGTAGCCCTTATTCTTCCTCTTCCTTCAGCCACGCATCGTGTTCTCCCGAGTCCTCAGTTTGCCGGGAAGCAAAGAAACGGCTTTCAGAAAGATGGGCCATGATGGCATCAAATGGGAATTCTCAAGAACAGAGACATGTCAGGAGTAGCTCAAGCATATTGGGTGAGATGCTTGCTCTTTCTGATGCAAAGAAGCTGGTGAGATCTGAAGGAGAGGGAAGTAATAAGGAACAAGAACCAAGGGGATCAACTTCCTGCATAGCTAGTAATTTGAATAAAGAAGCAAATAAAATTGATTCTCCCAAAAATCTTCTCAGGTCAAATCTGTTCCTGTGTCCTCCACTGCAAACAGTGCAAGGCTTAATATTGAGTTTTCAGATCCTGAATCTAGCAAAGAACAAGTTCCGAAGGAACTGACAAAAGCAAAGAGCGTCAAATCATCTTTAAAGGGGAAGGTTTCAAGTTTATTTTTCTCAAATAATAAGAAAACGAATGAAGACAAATGTACTGGATCTCAAACTGCAGAAGAATCATTATCTACAACTCCTGAAACACTGGGATCACCCATAAGACATCTTCAAAAGATTAACAATGATGCACCTCAACGCATTAATGACAGTTGCAACCAAGTGTGTTTGTCTCCTGTTCTAGGTCGGTCAGTTAGTAAAACTCCTTCACCAGATTTGACTGGCATGGGACAGAAACGAGGCATGACTGCTGTACTTCTAACTTCCTTAAGTTTCCTGGTAATGCATATTTATTTAATGTCCGCATCCTGTTTCGATGGTGTAATAATGTCTTCATCGGCTTGAACAAAAAGGAAAAGTCTCCATCTTTGATGATTAAAAAAAAACTAAAAGATTAATCTCATATATAAGACTTAAGAGCGATGTTTATTTTCTATTCATCAATTGTTCTTGGCTATGAAAAATTATCAGTCATACTCTTAAGTCAACTTAAGAGGTCAGCACCAAATTTACGAGCTGACAGAAGCCATGAAATGTAGATTCTGTGGATTGAACTTGTTATAACATATTTTGTCTTCTAAATTTGTATGAGATGATCATTTATCAATACTGTGATTATCTTTTGTAGGGAGGGTTGTCCGTAGCAAAGCCTTCAATTCTTGTCCGTTTAAGTGAGAATCAGGACCAGCCTAGCCCTATCTCAGTTTTGGAACCTCTATTTGTTGAGGATGAGACAAGTATAGAGTCCGCAGGCAGTATCAAACCAGTGAATCAAGGTGAATTTCACTTATTAAATTGGAACTCTGTTTGATTTTTATTTCTCCTAATCTATTGTTTCATTTATTAATACAGGAGTGGAGGTGCTTGACAAGCACCTATAGAATCAATTGCTCGCACCCTCTCATATGATGATTCTTGTTCAGAGACGGCCACAATAAATTCATCAAAACCCTCGAAGGTTTCTCAGGTGTCAAGGAAGAACAGGATTGGATTTTCTCTGTCCAATCACTGTTATCAGCTGCTGGCCTCAACGGCAAAGTGTGCTTTGAGTCATGTATTGCCAGATGGCATTCACCTGAAAGTCCATTGGACCCGTCCTTGAGAGAAAAATATGCCAACTCGAATGACGAGGAGCATCTGCATGAGGCTAAGCTACGACAATGGAGATCAAACAGGAAGCTCATATTCGACTGTGTCAATGCAGCAGTACTGGAAATCACAGGTTATGGATCAAGCAGTTGCATGAGAAACATGTCATTGGGCTGGTCCCATGTAAGGGACATGGAGAATTTATCATCATCACTGGTTGACCATGTATGTGCCCAAATGAAGGAATGGATTTCCGGTGACAGTAATCGTTTGGTGGATGATGATGATGGTGATGAGGACAGCTGCAGCCTGGTGGTCGAAAGGGTGGTGCAGAAGGAAGTGGTGGGTAAAGGGTGGGTCGACCAAATGAGATCTGAAATACATAACTTAGGAAGTGAGATCGAAGGGAAGTTGCTACAAGAGCTTGTGGACGAGGCCGTGGTCGATTTGACCGGTATGGTGTTCTGACTAAGCTCTTATTTTTAAGTTCTCCCCTCCCCTGTATTTATTATAACTTCATTATATGTGAATTTATGCATTTTGTTCTCAAGAATGAGGATGAGCCTGCCAAAGCTTATTTGTTTAAATTTGGCTTACGAATCTTTGCCCTTTAGTATATAATTTGAGCATTTTTATATTCTTGGAGTTTTTCTTTTTAGCTGCCTTGTCCATGGTTTAAATCATCTTTAAAAATGATAAATAATGGTATCTAACTTTGCTATTGATGTACAACGTAGTATCAATATATCGTTATCCGATCTATTTATAAACTAATTCAGATCGAGTATTACAGAGGCAAAGATGACTTTCTCAATCCAGTTTACTCTATTTGCAATCGTCTAAATTTGAACCCTAGACTTTGCTTAAGAAAACTAATGTCTTATCCTACTAGACCAACTGGTTGTTTAAGAAATTATGTATCTAACTTTTTAATAGTATTATTACATGCCTATTTTTTCAGTTTAGGAAATTATGTATCTAAGGTACTAATGTTTGTACTTTGTTTCTAATTATATTAATTTAATCTTAAAAAAAATTAATTTGTATTAATATTGTGCTTTAATTGATATAAATCGTATTTAACTGTTATGATAATGTTAATGTGACAATTAATTATATTAATATAATAGTCCACAATACTAATATATCAATTCATGTGGAAGTTTAATTAATTATTTTTGTCAAACTTAGAGGCTTGATTGATTTTCATAGATTTCAAAAGTTCATCTAATCTTTAAGAAGAAGAAATTATGTCCACGCTTATTTTTTTCTTTTTAATTTTGATTCTTAAACTTTGAATTATAAATTTAAAAACTAAAATTATTATTATATCATATTATATTATTATTATCATAATTTAATAGTGAGATAAAGAAAAATATAACACTAAATTTAATTTAAAAAATAATTAAATAATCAAAATAAAAACGTAAAAATAAATAGGTGATTAAATAAATAGTTTATCTTTATTTTTATATTATGAAAATAAGTAAATTATACAAATGGCCACTAATGCCTTAGTAAATTTTTTTTTCTGATTGAAATTTAAAAAGTAATAAATTGTTAAAAAAAATTCTGATTGAAATTTAAAAAGTAATAAATTGTGTAACAAAATGGTCACCCCACTATAGTCTCCTTTGAATTAATAACGTGACAACGTTAACAAAAGAGTTAATATTTGATTTTACCATTAAATTACTGCTAAAAATCAAATAAATCTTTGAAAAATAATTTTATATCTATTTTATTCCAAAAAAAATTAATTTTCATTTTCTTCGACACCCGACCACCTGATCAATGATACGAGAATCACCCTTCCCACAGAACCAACAACGTCGGGAGCAGTCCCTGACTCCCTTCACCTGCCTACTCCACGACAGCAACGTAGGACCCACCAAAAACCAAACCGACAGCAACGTAGGACCCACAAAAAACCAAACCGACAGCAACGCTTACCACTCATATTCAAGATTGAAATGCTTCTTCAACACACCCTTGAACAAACAAGGCAAATCCATGCTCTCATGGTCGTCATAGATGATTCCTAGTTTAGCCCTTCAACACAATTCCATTCCCTTATTACATATTACACTAAAAACAACCAATCGCATCGTGCACTTGACATCTATGGTTGTTTGAGAATAATGGACAATGAAGTTGATTACTTCATGATCTCAGCAATCCTGAAAGCATGCAGTCTTGTTTCAATGACCCACTCGGGAAAAGGAAATACATAGTTTTGGCGTGAAGAATGCATTGACTGAAGATGTTGTATGTAACGCTTTGATATGTGAAATATGATGCGCTATATTTTATTCACAATGAATTGTAATATTTAATTGTATTTATGCAGTACTTCAATCAGATTTTGACAGCTGTACTTGAAGTTTTAGATGATTCTGATTCCTCAATCAGAGAACTGGCTCTGTCATTGATAGTTGAAATGCTTAAAAACCAGGTTTGCTCATAGTTTTTAGTATATAATACTTTTAGACATCATCTGGGTTTTCTTTTCTCTAATAAGCTAGTGTGCTTGTTCATTCTCATTTTTTCCGGTGTGTCATGATTCCAGAAAGATGCTATGGAAGATTCTGTTGAAATAGTAATTGAGAAGCTGCTTCATGTAACGAAGGATATTGTTCCAAAAGTAATTTACTTGCCACAAACTTGAGCGTTGAAAATTTTCTTGCTTCTCTTCCCCCTCTCAATTACCTGCTCCATGTTCAGGTTTCAAATGAAGCTGAGCATTGCTTGAATACAGTGCTGTCTCAGTATGATCCATTCAGATGCTTAAGTGTAAGTGGTTTCCCCTCAGATGTCTGATTTGTTTGCCCTACTAGAGAAAGAGTTTTAGCTTTTCCTCTCTGGTTTCAAGGTTACTGTATGTACTGATGTTGTAAAATGACTGGGCTTGCAGGGTATTGTACCTTTATTAGTTACTGAAGATGAGAAGACTCTAGTTATTTGCCTAAACTGTTTAACAAAGGTATTTATCCTGAATCTTAGTTGGAGTTATAATTGTTAATTTTATTTTCTCTTATTTTTTCTGGATGAGATTCTTCATGCAAGGAGTCAAGGACACATGCATATAGTTTTTTTTTTTTTGAGTGATTGCATGAGACTCTAGGTATATGTGGTTCCACTTTGTATCCTTGCTCTAAACCGTTATTTTTTCTTCATATCGAGGGCACCAAAACTAATATGCTAAACATGGATAAGGTTGCTGATGTCTTAGTATGGCATGGTAAAGGAAAGTAAGTTAAGGTGCCCAGCTTTATCTTATGCTGCTTGAAATTTGCTGGGAATGTTATCATGAGAAGGGAAAGAAGTGGGGTGAGGGAGGGTTGTAAGGGAAGACATCTATTTGACGAGGATCAAGGAGGATTTTCTTGTCAAAAGCCTATTGTTTGATTGGGACCATTGTTTTACTGTTTCTTAGACTAGGCATTGTGTACAGTACATATAAATCCAGCTTGTTATTTTAATGCAAATAACTTTTGCTGGCTAATGTTAAGAACTTAAGATGCCTATATATTCCTGAGCTCTTTACTTTTCTTTTCAGCTTGTGGGCCGGCTATCACAGGATGAACTAGTGGCTCAGCTGCCCTCATTTTTGCCTGCTCTTTTTGAAGCTTTTGGAAACCAGAGTGCAGATGTCCGGAAGGTAATATTTCTTTCTTGATTTATAAATTTGTTTTTATATTTAATGCCTCAAATTTTGGTTTTCGTTTGCTGGAGAAAGTAGAAAGAAAAAGAGGGGTTAGGGTTGGATGGGGTGTGGCCTGTTGAGAGAAAGGAGAGAATTTGTCATCTGGTGGAAGATAATACTTCCTTGCTTTCTACATTGCCGTTTATTCTATCTAGCTGTTTGATCCTTTGTAAGTGATATGATTGGCCTCCAAAAATCTGAAATAAAGATTGAATTTCCTATGTTCTCTGTACTCGTGTGAGTGACAAGGTACCTGTATCCAACAAGGGTGAACCATTTTTTTTAAAAGTCATGTGTATGAATGATTCTTGGAGGGTTGTATCCTCGTATCAAATCAAAGCAAGCCTAGCAAAATTCAATTTAGAACTCATGAAAAGTGGACAGCTGCCTTTTTTTTTAATGGTCTATGCACTTTGTGTTTCTGCATGTTTCAAGTTCTTCCTAGTATGTTTCGTTTCTCTTTTCTCTCTCTAAATCTCATTGAGTTCCGATGTCTCATCACATTGTTATTTTTGATGGCACAGACGGTTGTGTTCTGTTTGGTGGATATCTATATAATGCTGGGGAAAGCATTTTTGCCACACCTGGAGGGGCTTAACAGCACTCAGTTGCGGTTGGTTACAATTTATGCAAATCGAATCTCACAGGCCAGAACTGGCACCCCTATAGATGCTAACCATGATTAGCCAGTTCATTTGGATGGGGATGTCGGGTTTTCCAAACATTTACTTATTCATTGTTGTGTATTTTGTATATCGTGTGTGAATGCATTTCAACAGCGATCTCAGTTTTCTTTCCCCTTTTATCTTTTAGAATGTATACTTCACTTCGTTTTTGGTTTGCTGAGTTTGGCCAAAAAATGTGCTTTTGGTGAGTAATCAAATAGGGAATTGCACTATCGTGCCCATTTTGTAATCACCATTTTGTTACCATTGTTGTTATATTGATAAAAGAAATATTGTTTTGGAGAAATATGGGATTGGGTTCGATCTGTTTTGTGTTGGGTTAAGTCCATTTTGATGGATAGAGAACTGTGAATTTTACATCTGTTGTGTGCTAGTTTTGGTCTCATAGAATGCGAGTGTTCACACCAAAATTTACGACATGTGAGGTAATAATATTTTACATCTGTCTTTTACAACATATTTACACTACAGTGTTCACTAGTAACATTTATTTAATGCAACAAATATTCTGTAAGATATTGGAAATTCACAGAGCTGATAGGAATATATCAACATTGATGGGTTGATTAATGCATTCCAAGAATCATGAAATTTGTGGATGAAATTCACAGTGCTCCATGAACGAGTTAACTCGATTGGCAGTGAAGATGAAGGCACAATCCCTGGCATAACTATAGGGCTGTGATCTAGTTGTGTAATCTCACCAGCTTTGTTGTTTTCTTCAATTTTGTCAAGTGTCGTGAGTTTTATGTTGGTCTAGTGTTGGTAATTGCTGTCGGTACGCGCGGAAACTGTGGTAATTAGTGACGTGAATGAAAGATCGTCCTCGCTAAATGCCTTCGATTAGCTATTATTGTTTATCATTGTCTCTATTTTTTCTATGTTTTATCTTTTTCCAACTGGAAGTTTTCGGCTTGTTTAATCAACCACTTCAATAACTAAAAATAGTCTCATTTTCTAAATTTCTTCATCTTTTGCTTGTTTTATATACCTTGAAATGCCATTGACTGATAAGACATTGGCTTAATTGCTAACGATTTAATTTTACAAAAAAAAAATATATATAGAAATAAAAAAATACAATCCATAATGCTTTTATTGAGCTAAAAATCTAATCTAATTATTCATGTTATTATTTTATTTTTCTCAATTTTATTTACATCCTAACAAGCCCGTCCCATTTTGTCTTCCTCAAGCAATTATTCTGCATAAGAATGATCGAGGAAGAATCAGAGTAACCCATACATCTACAATCAATGGTGTCATTTCTAACGAAAACCCATCAATCTTAAGAAATAATGACCCGTAATTTATTAATCTAATTATTTAATAATTATCTCATGAGCAACTCTTTTTCAAATTAAATTATTATAGTTTTAGTCGACTTAAATTTTAACTTAAATATAACTACCTTTATGTGGCTCCTTATTTAATATATATATATTGGTGAACATTTTTTTTTTGCTAATTAATGGCTAATAAAGAAAAACAAAACAAAATAGATAATGCAGATTCGGTACCATTTTAAAAGTGACATCTTATGTATTTTACAGCAGATATTTTATTTTATTTATTTGAAGACATTCCGATGTTTATATCTCTCCGGTTATGGAAAAAGATCCGATTGAATAGATTTTATTGATTTTAAACACAATCGAACCGATACTGCTCCATAATATCTCATTGTTCAGTCACTTAGTCTTTTAAATAAAGCTAAATTTAAACCAAGAAATCCACCACGAGAAGAAATCAACATTATTCAGCATCCTCTTCATTCAGTTTAGTTTAATCTTCTTCAACCTCATTAGGTTTATCGCATATGTCGGATATATATACTTCTGGGTAACACTTACGTATACCTTTGTATTGTTTGAGATGCTAACATATCTAAATGGACTCATCTTCTTGGCATATTCTCCATGGAGGTTGATGCCATAATTTTCAGAAATTTGTTGTTTCTGAACCAACAAGTTAAACCACTTCACCTTCTTATGGAAACAAGTTGGTCGTCGTTATTGTTCTTTTGGTTTTCGAATAGTACTATATATATATATATATATATATATATATATATATATATATATATATTATTGTTTGATGTATTGAACGTGGTCAAAGTTTGATCTCAACCGGGTCATTCCCGGTCTAATCAAGTTCACTAATTCTTTGACCAAATAATGACACCTTTTGTCTTTGTTATTTTCATTAAAAACATCTGTTGCCTTGTAAACAAAACAAAACATGTTTATGTTCGGGTTTCATAGTCCTACGAATTAGATTTCACATGAAACTCACAAAAAAGTTTTGTTGGTTCAGTTTTCCATAGGAAAAAAAACTCAAAAGTTCCTGCAGGGGGAACTTAGACATGGCGGCGCAGGGCAGACATGGTGGGAGAAAATCAAACAAGATGACCGCACTCGTCGTGGACGATAACATGGTCAACCGAACGATTCACCACCAGCTTTTGGACAACCTCGGCATCGAGAATGTAGCCGTAGGCAACGGGAAAGAAGCCGTCGATATCCACTGTTCCGGGAAGGCGTTCGACCTCATCTTAATGGACATGGATATGCCTATCATGAATGGCATTGAGGTACGATATAACTATTTCGTTCACTTTTATGTATGTTTAATTTGAATGGTGGTGCTGATTTTGATTCGGAATGTGACAGGCAACGAGGAAGCTTCGTGAAATGGGAATTCGGAGCATGATCGCCGGCGTGTCGACGCGATCGATGGAACAAGAAATACGAGAATTCATCGAGGCTGGTCTAGATGATTACCAGGAGAAGCCATTGACAGTGTCTAAGCTTATTTCTATTATCCGTAAGATCAACTGATATTAGAATGACCAGAGGAATTATAACTCCCGTAGCTTTTAGTTTTTTGTATGATCAAAGGAAGCTAACCCTACCTTCCTTTCTTTTCTTCTTCTACTACAGTTGTTTCTATTGTAACCAAGTCTTAGGTAAAGGTAAATATATTTACTCACATTGCTTTTGTGTTGCCCCATCTCTTAAAAGTACATTATCTTTTACTATTAAACTATTAGTAAAAATCAACAACTCGAGAATCGACCGAGTGGTATCAATAATAAAAGAGAACTTTATTATCGAAAGATTCGGGTTCAAGCAACCATATATACAAAATGTGTATGCGAATAATATGAATCCAACCCAAAACTGAAATTTTAAATCCTAATTAACACGACAAAAAACACACTCAATTCGTTAGATTAAACGTCTTATTCAAACTCTAATTATGTTATTTGACGAAGTTACATTTAAAACTTGTTTAGAGAACAAAAGGAATTTTCTTTTAATGTCGGGTTAAGATGCAGTCAACAAAATCCATGTATATTACAGCTTACCGGAAAACTCCATGGGAAAACATCCAATGGGAAAGATGAAGAAGATACATGCATCATATAAATAGGTGAGAGCATGGCCACCCCCCAGTCACGTGATGTTTCTTTTCATGTCTTTTATTACAGAAAAGAAAAGTTAGAACATGTTTTTGTTACCTTGACTGAAAATTTAGTGGAAAAATTCAACATTATAAAGAATCTTCTATTTACCAAAATAATGTCGGAGAATTTTATTATTATGGGTCTAAGAGAGAAGGAACTTTTCAATACGTTGCTTTGTTTTGATGCTGAGAAGAGAGCCTAGTTGTTTTGATCTTTCGAATATGAACATTTTTGTTAGATGGTAGTAGCATGCATGCATGCATTTGAAAAGATTTTTTTTCATGGGTTACTTAACATACGAATCCGGAAATTTAGAAATGAGGTCTAAACATTTTAATATTCCTTTTTCAATATAACGGGTATGCAAAATTTCTTATTTTTCTTCTTATTCTTTTAATATATGAAACTATATTTAATATCTAATCTAAAATAATACGTATGAATTTAGTCCCTTATGAGGCCATATGCATCTGCTCCTGTTACGTAATGTGTTCGATATTATTTCTGAAGGAGTTTTGTCATTTGAAGTAGTCCCTTATGAGGCCATATGCATTTGCTTTTGGGTTTTAGACATTCACACATACATAATTCGATAATTATATGAAATTATTGGTGTCTCATTTGACAATATTACTTCTCAAGATATAAAAAATTATGTTGATAGGGTATAAAAAGAGCCACATAAAAAAGAAAAAGATTTTTGTTCCCAAGATATACATGTAAAAGTCATGTGGGTAATCAGATTTGAACTCGTGACTTTTAACATAAAAGATATTAATTAGTGTAAGTGTTATTATATCTATTCATAAAATATTTTTTATATTTAAGGTTACAAGTTTAAATCTTTATCGTTTACGCTTTTTTTATTCTTACATACGTACAACGACACCTTCGATATTGTTTTTAAAAATATGTTGATAGGGTATAAAAAGAGCCACATAAAAAGAAAAAGATTTGTTCCCAAGATATACATGTAAAAGTCATGTGGGTAATCAGATTGAACTCGTGACTTTAACATAAAAGATATTAATTAGTGTAAGTTATTATATTATTCATAAATATTTTTTATATTTAAGGTTACAAGTTTAAATCTTATCGTTTACGCTTTTTTTATTCTTACATACGTACAACGACACCTTCGATATTGTTTTTAAGATAAAAATTTTTCATACTCCCCAATTAATCTAGGTTTGAATCTTTATTTGTCATTTTTATTTTTCAACCATTAATTATGTTATAAATATATATGATGTAAGTATAATGTCAAAAAATTAATATTAAATAGTCATTTTTATTATTAATTTGTAACATTGGACCCAACATTTCAAAGACCCTAACATTTAATTAACTAATACTTGACCCTTATTTATTTCTTTTAAAACATTTTGATCCCAATGTTTAATTTTAGGGGAAAATACCAATATTTTAAAATGTTGATTGTTAGTTTTCTAACGATTTTCATCTAAAAAATATATTTTTACCTAAAATAAAACATTAAGACCAAAATATTTATAATTATTTAATCAAATATTAAAAAATTGACATTAAACTTATAATTTGTTATAATCCAAACTAAACACATTTGGCCCACTAGTTGGGCGCCCCACCTTTCCTTTCAAGTGTCGAAGTTCATCTTCAAATTATTTTCACAAATTAAATGGTGACAAATGCTATCTTTCGATTAAATAAAAATATTAAATTGAAAATAATATAATTTGATGGTAATACGTATCATCACTTAATTAAATGTTATTTTGTGTTAAATTAAAATCAAAATAATAAAATGTATAAATAATATCAACCAAATATATAATTATATCAATCTTATTAATTATCACATTTATTTTTCTGTCAAATATTAACAAATAGTTTGATTTATATTATTTAAATAACTAAATAATTTGATTGATAAAATTTAAAGAGAGATGGATAGAATAAAATATCTTCATAATTAACTGATGATAGTATAATTTACCTTAAAAATAAAACCCCTAAACCCACTTTGCATTGCCCTTTTCCCAAGCATCAACCATTCGAGTCTATCTTGATGGGCTAGCGATCTTTGCTCTTGTCGATCTGTTACAAAGGTAATTTCACTGAATTTTTCCGAATCATTTACTTCGAATTTCTAATTTAATTAGATTATAAGTTTTTGGTCGCATCCATCAGCGAATTCCGGTTAGTAATGGTATTTTGTTGATAATTTTCCATACCAAATTGCTGCTTCGACATGGCCTTGAAATGTTCAACATATATTCGACTTTCCTCCAAACTTACTGTGATTGAGCATGCATTCTTTTGCAGTTTTCAAACTAGAAGTTCTTTCAGTGGAATATCGATAACATCGTTTTGAAGGTTTTAATTTTGGTGGTAATGTATTTGAGGATGACTTTGTTTAGGCCTTTATCAGATTGTTGCTTCTTTCTTCAAATTTGAAGTTCATTTTGGCATATAACTTATTCACTCGGACACTAGATTCGTAGGATTTTTAGGTTTCGATTTGTTGAATTTTAAAAATGTTCCAATCACCTGCAGATTGGGTATGATTTCTTTTTATCAGGGATCATATTGTTTGTGATTCAAATTAAATGGGCCTATAATAAGTCTGTAATGGGAACTGAAGAGATAAAGGACCCGTTGAAAGGGGTTGACTGGAAAGCAATTGGTAGTGAGTTGCACAAGGACCCCAGTGCTGGTGGTAAGCATGCTGTAAAGAAGCGGCTTCCTAAGAAGATTAGGCAAATTCCAGATTGTTATTTCCTTCTTGGATGTCCATTCCTTCTGCAATCGCCTTCTATGGAACGTGTATTGCTGGCGGGATCGGTGCTGGGATGCTACTTGAGGTCTGGATAAACAAGAAAATTAAAGGTATACACTCAAAGATATCTATCTTCTTTCCTTTTTTGAACTAGTGTTTAAAGCCTATTGCTGACGAGTCTAGAGAAGAATTGTGTCTGAAGACTCTTCAAGGGCTGAGGCCATTGTTGTATCCATTGTGCAATAGGCCCGGCCCCCAACCTTAATTAGTGCAGTGTTAGCGAAGGGAAGAGCGAACAATATGACAGGGGAAGCTCCGCTTAGCTTAGTTAGGAAGGCAATATTTTGCGTGCTAAGGCACGTAAGCATCAAAGCCCATAGCACGTTTGGAAAGAATCTTAATCTGGGCAGCTGGGAATATAGTTCATATGATTTTTCCAAAGAACGTATGATCGTACATAATACAATACAAAACTGATTTTTCGATGAGGGAATAGTATAGGGAAACATATGCTGAGAGTTAGTAAGTAGGAAGGGGAAAACATTAGCTTAAATTTTCCTAAAAGACTTTATTGATTATAATAAAATTTTTTATTTTATTATTTTATTTAAATTTAGTTAGAAAAAATAAGCATTTAAATTATATTTCTTTGTTGACTTGAGTGTTTAAAGTTTCTCTTTTTCAAAGTAGGTGTCTAAATTTTTAAAATTATCATTTGGAAGTGTTTGATTATTAACGATCGTTGAAAAGAATTCATTAAATATCAATGACTAGTGTAATTGACACACTTAAATAATTAAGGGTGAAGATTATAAATGGTACCTCGATTATAAAATATTATTTTATTGAATCTCTTGACTATTAAAAGTTACAAAATGATCCCTTGATTATATGGAGTTGTTTTGTTTAGTCATTCGACTTTTAAAAGTTATAAAATGGTCATTCAGTTATTCATTATTTTCCAAAATTGTCTTTCTCCGTTAAAAAATTAATGGTCATTTGTGATGGATGTTAACATGTTGAATGAGATATGATAATCGTTTGAGATTTTGAGATCGAATTTTATCATATCTTAGTTAGCAAGTTAATACACAACTTATAATATTGTCAAATTTTTAACGGAAAAAAATGAATTTGGAACATATAATGAATAGTTGAGTGACTATTTTTGTAACTTTTAATAATCAAGGGACTCAACAAAGCAACTCTCAATAGTGTGAGCCTCTGAGGATCATTTTGTAACTATTAATAGTCGATGGACTTAATAAATCAATATTTTATAATCATGGGATCATATGTATACTTTAACCAATAATTAAATCGTGTGATTAATAAAAATTTAAAATTGGTGGTCAAAATGAAAAGAAGAAATAATTAAATGATTATACAAATAAAGAAACGATTAATGATTATACAAATAATTTACCTAATTAAAAATTAATTAGAGAAAGAAAAGAGAAACTCAAATTAAATCGATGCCTTTGATTAATTTAGGATGATTATAATTAATAATATCTATTCTAAAGACTCTCAATCACTTGACATTGAACGTTCAAGTATCCTACAGATGTTATTTGTTGGTACTCAAACTTAAAACATTTAAAAATAACAAC